GCCATCGTCTCGAGGCACTGGCACAGAACTATCATGTTCTTCACAATCTGTACTAAAGCCATAGTCATTAGTTACCAGTTAATAGACTTATTACAATTATATTTGCCAAATTCCCTTTGTGTAAGGCAGTGACTTCCTGCCACAGGCAGTGGTCTATAGTTGCCTCAACCTCAAGAACAAGTATAATGGGTCACTGAAACCTTCATAACAAAATATTCGTTGATGGCCAGACACCTTCACTAGAAGGTGAAGGGACGACGACGTTTCGGTCGATTGAGAATGGTCCAGGACGGACCGAAACGTCGTCGTCCCTTCACCTTCTAGTGTATGGTCTGGTCATCATACTTTAGCCACTTTATTGTGACCCATCGCCTGCAAAATATTCATTGATACCTAATTGCTAAGAGGCGAGATCCAAGAGCTAGATCCCACTCCACTGTGGTTCAGTTGGCTAGGTGCGCGTGAGCACAATTACAAAATGGCTATCTTCCACTTCCAATGCATTAATTTACTCTCAAAACACGATATCGTTTACTCAGATAACTTTGATACGAAATAGGAAGTAGCGGTGAGGACTTGAGAGCATTAACCTGGCGTGTGAGTGGTCCCGGGAGGGTTGTGCACCCTGTCCTCCCCTCACCATCTGCTCCAGAAGCACGCCTGCACGCTCTCTCATCACCACTCATACCAACACATATTATATATTGACGTGCTGATAATCATTTAATCTAAATAGATATCTAAAATGCACTTGTCCTCCTCATGTGCAAGTCTCCCGATGCGAGACCTCAACAGTTAAATGGTCAACAACTTGAAATAGAACCTCTCAATCATCATCTTTCTCGGTGATTTCAACCTACTCCACCATAAATACAAATAATGTGGCAAATATGAGAGAGAATTTCAGGAAGCAGCCTATATGAAGTCATATACCATTGATCTCTTGAAGGACTGAGTCCTTAAAGGCTTATCCTAATGGGGCTGAGAGTGTGCAACGGTATTCCACCGCAGACAGCACTAATGTCTTGAAAAGTATCATTGGTATGGCATCTCTTGCTTGAAAGGTTCTTGTTATCCAGCCTGCTACTGCTATTTTTCTTGCAGATGTGACTGCTACCTTACTGTGTTCTTTAAAATAAGGTCTTCCGACAGGATGACTCAAAGTCTTTAGCATTGCCATTCTTTCAAAAATGTAATTTGACTTTTATATGAGGTTTCCGTTTTTTTTCCATAGGGCAGGAGCTGGAACTTATCATCGTTAAACATCACGTTTAATGAAGACACGCTCTACCTCCTTCATTATGAAAAAAACGAAGTAATCAAAACGGAAACCTCATAAAATGTGGTCAAATTACACTATTAAAATAAAAAACAATATAAATTATTTCGGAGTAATCATGCCGGACGACCCCTTAAAGAACACAATAAAATTGCTGTTACAAATAAAAAATAATGATTGACATTTTAAAACAAGAACCATTCAAAAGCGAGATAGCAAACCAACGATGTTATTTTTTTTTTAACGTTCTATCAAGAGCGGAAAATTGTTGCACAAAGTGTGCTTCAATGCTGGAGAGCGTGCCGAGAGCTTTTATTGCTCGAATTCCTTCAATAAATCATCTAAATGTTTGGGACGGTTTATAGTTCAGAGATTTTACTCCCTGGAGCGCAGGTGGAGAGAGAGGCATAAAAATTTACATGTAAACAATATTAGACCGGATCAAAATGTGCCCATATAAATAATGTCTTACGTGACCAAGAGGCATGACGCTTCAAAATAGCCTCTTTGAACATTAAGGGTGCAATAGGTGCACTAAGAGAATGCCATAAGCTTTCAACACTCTCCCTTTAAATATAAGAACTTATTAACTAGGCACTCTCCTATAGTGTTCACGAAGGGAGCATCTTGAGATTATCTTGAGATGATTTCGGGGCTTTTTAGTGTCCCCGCGGCCCGGTCCTCGACCAGGCCTCCACCCCCAGGAAGCAGCCCGTGACAGCTGACTAACACCCAGGTATCTATTTTACTGCTAGGTAACAGGGGCATACGGTGAAAGAAACTCTGCCCATTGTTTCTCGCCGGCGCCTGGGATCGAACCCAGGACCACAGGATCACAAGTCCAGCGTGCTGTCCGCTCGGCCGACCGGCTCCCTGGAACCAGAATAATTATATAAGCGTAATTATATCCTCCAAATGGTACCTGATCAACCGGGCTTTGATTCCTTGGTGAGACTGCAAGCAGCCAAGACCAATAGCCTGGTCGACCAGGCCGTCAACCAGGATGTTCGGTTAGAAGCCGATCCCCCGGGGACGTTAATCCTGGGAACCGCCTGAAGTAACTTGAAGGTAAGTCTGGCCCCTCACTACACTCTACTCTACATTTCCAATACACATCACCTTTCAAGTTGCAAGCTAAATGTTACTCATATTATGCCAAAATGTAAAGTGTGATTGAGAGTTATGCACACCTGTTTAATCCAGCCATTATTGCAACCATTTGTGCAAGTTCTTACCAATATTGTTTCAGACTGAATTTGATAAATAATGATTTTAAAATAATTGATAAATTTAGCTTCTGACTGTAATTGTTGAGCATACAGTTCATGATTACAGACATGGCATATTATTATGACTTTTGTAGGTAAATAATTTACTGTAAATTTGTGCAAACTATAAATGTACAAAACCATTATTTCAATTCAGTTCCCCAACGCCGGGGTCGGAGGCCCCCCCCCCCTCACGCCGGGGTGGGCAGGTAGAGGCGAGGAAGTTGGTATGAGGTGGGTGAGCGATGGTAGCAAAGGTCAGCGTCGGTGAGGGAAGCCACCTCACAAGAACCTCACCACTTCCGGCCACACAGCACCAGGACACCACCACCACCAGGTGTGTGGCGCCGCCCGCGTCCCTCCCAGCTCTCACACCTGCCCCCCCCCCCGTGTGTACGCACACCCCACCACTACTCCTTCACACACAAAGAAGGCCGGCCGTCAGCGCAGGTGACACTGGCCAATATTGACAGTCTCAAGAGTGCTTCTGAAAACCTGTTCAACCTTGGCCGTGTACGTGGACATCTCAGCGTGGGCACTGAAGGAAGCTCAGACACGAGCACTATACTGACGGGGGGTATACCATCTGGGACACGTGACCCGGAACACAACAAACGCTGTGTCCATACTATGAGAGAGTGACCCGAGGCGCTTAACTACGAACCGCTATTCCTCACAGGCATAGCGTCTATTGGTCAAGTCGTGTCTTAACCCGACATTAATATATATACCCGAGGGGTATAACTGGCCGACCCCTCACAGTGTTCAAGAGAGAACTGGATAAGCACCTCCAAAGGATACCTGATCAACCAGGCTGTGACTCATACGTCAGGCTGCGAGCAGCCGCGTCCAACAGCCTGGTTGATCAGTCCGGCAACCAGGAGGCCTGGTCGACGACCGGGCCGCGGGGACGCTAAGCCCCGGAAGCACCTCAAGGTAACCTCAAGGTAGGACATGTTTCATGATAGGATAGACGGGACAGAGGAGAGCGGCAGGAGGCCTAGGGTGCAGTGCCCGAGAGAAGGCACTGCACTATGGGATAGAGAAAGAGGTGAGTGGCAGGGAAGGTGGTCCAATGACCAAAAGTAACATGGTCCAAGGTTATCAGTCACAGCCGCCAACACTCATAACTGTGGTGAGAAAGCGTCAGTTGTGGGAGGTCTCCACACTGGCCAGTTCATACTTCACTGTCACAGTACATACTCAACTGCTCTAACCTTTCTAACAAACGCGACCTGACACAAGCCTACCCCCCCCCCCTCCCCATTTCTTTCTCCTCTTATTCTTACGTTCCCATTCTTCCGTCACCCCATTATCACACCCATCCCATCCGTATCTTTCTTCTTCTCACCTTTCGCTTACCTTCTGAAATGACCTCATCTTACCTGCTCCTCGCCTCACTGTTGCTTTACTCCATGTGCCGGTGCCTCCCTCGCTCACCAAAGATCACATTCACTCCAAAAAATCTAACACTTACGGGCTATTCATGCCCGTGCCACCTCTTGGGTGGCTTAATCTCTATCAATCACTCTCGCTCCCATCACAATCGACTTAATGATGACCCGCGACGCACCGAAACTTTGTCGTCGTCTCATGGTCTGGTGTGTGGTCGTGTCCAGAACACAAACCATGAAGTATCTGCCCGTCTGGGAGACCTAACTACCGTCACAACGTCAACTGCTTCCCTTAGTTCTCTGGCCTTCAAGGTGTGTGTACACTGTTCCCTGCTGAAGGTCCCGGCCCCCACCACCACCTACACTGCCCGTCATCACCCACGGTAATTGTTGACCGGCTACCGCACCCCGTGCACGTCCAGCCTGGGTGGCGTGCACGCCCGTCACTCTCCCAGCCTGGGTGGCGTGCACGGCCACCCAGGCTGCTCAGATCACTTCCCACCTCACTCCACCTGCACATGATGATGTCCTCCCAAGACAGCACCGTCTCACCCTGCCACAAGCACCAGTCATCGCAGAGTGCTGTTCCCCGGCCACCAGTGCTGTATACAAGCACTACTCACACGTCACAAGCCGCCTGTACCATAGTTTACCATAGTATCCCCCTTCACCCCATCGCCACACACTTCACTTACTTCAGAAAATGATACATTGCCGTGGTTTTATAACTCCAGTTGAAAGTATCATTGCAGTGAACTACTGATGGTCGAAGGGCGGGGCTCAGGAGCAGACGCTAGACCCTGGAAGCACATCTAGAGCGCTGTAAGCGGCCACGAGCAGCCACAAACCCTGGGAGATATTGTTCAGCCGACACCCGCCCGCCAGGCGTCGCCACGACGCCCTCAAGCACCAGGATAATAACGTGACCGCCACCTTCCTTTGGTGCACAACTCCAGGCGCAGCCATCATCAGTCCCCCTCCACCACCCTCACCCGTGGTGCAGCAACACTCCCCTGCCCGTGTGTGCAGGTGTAACACCCGTGGTGCAGCAACACTCACCTGCCCCCCGGGAGATGACCGTCGCCAGCCTCAGCAACAGCTGCTGCCTCTCCTGCAAGGATAAGATCATATCATCACACAATTCCCGGCTTACTTCACTATACCTAAAAACTACACATTTGTTCCTGTCATTAACAGTTAGCATAATGTTGCGAGTTCCTTCGTGGGCTGCTGCTCTTCTCTGTAACAACTTCATCCCAGCATCTGTATCACATCTATACCAGAGAAAGCAATAATAAAGCATTATAAAAAAGCGCATTTAGGTAATATTATGTTAAGGACACCCATTAGTCTATATATTTACAGCCTTGCCCCGTCCGCTCTGCTGTAATGGAGTGAATGACACTCACGACTTGCTCAAGTCTCCCGGTGACTTGAGAGGTAAGCGTGAGGTAATATATTGACCAGCGATATTGACCAGGGGCCAGAATCACGAAGCAGTTACACAAGCACTTACGAACCTACACATCTTTTCTCAATCTTTGGCGGCTTTGTTTACAATTATTAAACCGTTAATGGGTTCCGAAGCACCAGGAGGCTGTTTATAACAATAACAACAGTTGATTGGGAAGTTTTCATGCTTGTAAACTGTTTAATAAATGTAACCTAAACCGTCAAAGATTGAGGAAAGATGTACAAAGTTCGTAAGTGCTTGCGCAATTGCTTCGTTAATCTGGCCCCTGGATTCGATGATAGACACAAACGCTTGGGCACTGTTTCTTAGCCGAACTTTCACATTCACGCAGCAGTATTTGTGACCTGGTTAACACCGTTTGGTGAGTGTTCCAGGGAACATAGGTAAGGTCAACCTTAAGATGAGCTGTTGAAGGGGGAGATCTTAAGTCTGCTAGAGTCAGAAGTCATCTGTTCTTGTAGCCTCCCTTATGGGGAAAGTGAGTCACCACTAAGCTCCCGCGGCACAGCTCCAGCCTACACGACTTGATGTATTCATTCATTCATAAGAGAATACATACAATTTTCCACACACACAAGGGAGCCGGCCGGCCGAGCGGACAGCACGCTGCACACGTGATCCTGTGGTTCCGGGTTCGATCCCGGGGGCCGGCGAGAAACGATGGGCAGAGTTTCTTTCACCCTATGCCCCCTGTTACCTAGCAGTAAGTAGGTACCTGGGAGTTAGTCAGCTGTCAGGGGCTGCTTCCTGGGGTGTGTGTGTGGTGTGTGGAGAAAAAAAATAGTAGTAGAAACAGTTGATCGACAGTTGAGAGGCGGGCGGAAAGAGCCGAGCTCAACCCCCGCAAACAACTAGGTGAATACACACACACACACACACACACACACACACACACACACACACACACACACACACACACACACACACACACACACACACACTGACCAATATAAACTAGTGATTACACAGCCACACCCACACCAGGTGGGGGGACCCACTCACACCAGGTGGGGGGCCACACCCACCCCAACAAGGAGTCCCTCACCAACCAATATCCGCACAAGGTGAACCCCCCCCCCCCCCCCTCACCTCCTCCTACTATTCAACACCCGCGCTACCAACTTCTAATCCTGAGGGAGCCCGGTGGAGGCCCCCTGCCTGACCGTGATGAGAGAGAGCGGCACCACGCTTGCTTCCGGTACTGTGTTATAACACGTCATCACTCGCCAATCACCACAACCCCCCCCCCCCTGGGGCAGCTCCTCCACCAACACCGGCGGCCGCCCACGCTACAGCCCCAGACCACAACCCCAGGCCAGGAGAAGCATTCATAAGGCTAGAGAAGTGATCGAGCCCGGGAGTAGTCAACTCCCCGAGAGGCCAACGTGTCCTGTCGAATAATACATCATATTTTGATGTAAAAATTCCCAAAGTCAAAATGTGATATACTCTATAACACATGGCAGATCGATGGGCTGATGCTATTTGTGGGTCCATAAGATCCAAATCCAGGGATCCCGTCACATTGGTTGTACTCTTCAAATCACTTGTGTTGTCCCGTCTTGAGTACTGCTCAGTACTCACTTCCCCCTTCAGAGCAGGAGAGATTGTTGAAAATAGAGGGAATACAGAGAACATATACGGCATACATAGACACGATATAGCATCTAAATTATTGGGATCGTCTCAAAGCTCTCCAAATGTACTCACTAGAATGGAGGCGAGAGAGATATCAAATAATATACACGTGGAAGATACTGGAGGGCCAGGTCCCAAATCTACACAGTAAAATAACAACGTACTGGAGTGAACAATATGGAAGAAAATGCAGAATAGAACCAGTGAAGAGCAGAGGTGCCATTTTCTCTTAAATAATATTTTATATAATAAGATTAACAAAATAAACGCGTAGAAACATTTTTGGTAAATATGCATAATGAGGTCAACCTCTCCTCCTAAAACACGTGTAATTGCTTTACTAATCAATGGCGCCGCTGACACTAAGACAACCACTGAAGAACCAAGGTGCCGTGAGGTGCCCAGACTCCGCCTGGAGTAGGCGACGTTTCTGCCTTCCGTGAGGCTGGTTGATACCTGGTTAAATACAGCTTCAAATGTAGATATGATAAGAGCACAGTAGGCTCAGCAACCTGTACACCAGGTGACTGACAGTCGAGAGGCGGGACCAAAGAGCCAGAGGCGGTTCCGGCAATCACCCCCCCCCAAACACCTGGGTCATGATCGGGTCACATCAAACCCCTAATCTACACACCAAGCATGACATCTTGCTGTGTTGATTATTGCCGCCAGAAATACGATAGGAGTCTTAAGACAACCTAATGAGAGGGACCGTTGTCGTAAACTCTATTGGAAGCTATTGCCAACATCATGGATACACAACTCATCGCTATGTATTATATTATATTTCTAGAACAACGGTACAAGTTTTCAAGGGGGAACTAAACAGTTTGGATTCCAACCAAGCAACAGCCTGTTGGACCAAGCTCTCAAGTCAAGCCTGGCCTCGGGCCGGGCTTGAGGAGTAGAAGAACTCCTAGAACCCCATCAAGCAGGAAGGAATGGTGTCCAACCCAAGTGGTTGGGGATTGGGTTGGACACCAATGACTGTCGGGGATTGAACGCCATGAATCCCCGATCAATAGTATTTACAGAGTTCAGCATACCTCAGCCCAGGAGGGCGAAAGTCAGTCAATATGAGACATTCTACAATATAATGTTCAGGGGAGTGCATGTTTTCTCTTTCACAAAGTTGACACCTGAGAATGAGAGGCGACTGTGCGTCAAGGTAACTGGTCACCCCACCACCAAAGGTTTCCCCTCACACTCCTCCACCCCCCCCCCCACACTTTCTCGAAATATTTAAAAATGTATATTTTTTCAAAGTAATAAACAGCGGTCTCCGTGGGCCTGCAGGTGGCTGCAAGCAACAAACTTATCAATCGTGTTATCACCAAACACACCCATGTTTGCTGTGGTGATAAAGGTGTGGTAATTTCACCTTGTTCGGTGTGTTATCACCAAACAAGCCAGGGCCTAGGTCAGTTTGGGGAGCAAACTCTTGTAACCATTGAACGGTTGTACGGGTGGAACACGAACAAGGGGACACAGGTGGAAACTGAGTACCCAAATGAGCCGCAGGGACGGTAGAAAGGACCTTTTCAGTGTCAGAGTAGTTAACAAATAGAATGCATTAGGCAGTGATGTGGTAGAGGCCAACTCCATACACAGCTTCAAATGTAGATATGATAAGAGCACAGTAGGCTCAGGAACTTGTACACCAGGTGACTGACAGTCGAGAGGCGGGACCAAAGAGCCAGAGCTCAAATCCCGCAAGCACAACTAGGTAAGTACAGGTAATACAAGTAGGTTCACACGCTTCTGGAACGATCAATGTGTAGAAATTGGACGCTTGTCAAACCATGAGAATGTCTCGACTTTTTGAGGGATGGAATGCGAGCCCAGAATGGGGAGGTCTGACGTGGTGGGTGGCAAGGTTCTTGTAAGAACTTGATCTAAAAGACTATAGCTTCGAGCGGCCCGCAGACCCACATGTCCATTGGAAAGCAGTTGGTCTGGCGGTTCTGGCCAGCCCCTCCATATATTCCTACACAATCAGTGATACAGTACTAGGCTGTGATCGTCAAGCTTGTGGTTTGTGGTGGGCGTGGCGCCGCTCCAGACGACCTTCGCTGATGCTGGCAAGACTTTCCCGAAGGACTGGACCAGAGCAGTAATACTCCTCGGGCACTGTGGTGTGATCACACGAGTCAACATATCTTCCGCGAGGTTTTCCAAGTGAGTGTGAACCACAAGAGGAGAGTTTCACCTGAGCACACGGCCGTCCTGGCGGTAAATTTGGACGAATTATAAACGACACACAGAGAACAAGGCACAACCAGATCTTCTGATAGAAGGAAAACCACAAAGGATATGAACGAGTACACACATCACACACACAGGAACACTCACAAGAGACGTGACGTCCCAGAACATTCTTGTTGTATTTCATACCTTTATACAGCTCTGCCAGGGCTTCTGATCTGCAACTGACAAGAGGCTTTTGAAGCCTCGAAGGTAACTTCTCTCGACCCAATGCACGAAAGAAGCAGTTAGAGGACTTCCTTGTAGTCTTCTGCACTCTCTCTCTTGCTTCACACCTCGTGCACTCTCTGCAAGTGCGACCTCACTCGCACATGGCCTTACCTTACCTTGCAATGATTTCAGGGCTTAGCGTCCCCGCGGCCCGGTCCTCGACCAGGTCTCCTCGTTGCTGAACCGGGCAACCAGGCTGTAGAACGCGGCTGCTCGCAACCTGATGTATGAATCACAGCCTGATTGATCAGGTATCCTTTGGAGGGGTTTATCAAGTTCTCTCTAGAACATTGAGGGGTCGGCCAGTTATGCCCCTTATGTGTAGTGGAAGCGTGTTGAACAGTCTCGGGCCTCTGATGTTGATAGTTCTCTCTTCAACACTGTGAGGGGTCGGCCAGTTATGTCCCTTATGTGTAGTGGAAGCGTGTTGAACAGTCTCGGGCCTCTGATGTTGATAGTTCTCTCTTCAACACTGTGAGGGGTCGGCCAGTTATGTCCCTTATGTGTAGTGGAGCGTGTTGAAC